GTTTATTGATTTGCATGTGTTTGACCATTCAGAGATAAATCCCACTTGATCATGCTGAATGATTTTTTTAATTCAGTTTATTAATATTATATTGAAGATTTTGTACCATCAGGGATATTGGCCAATGATTTTCTTTACTTGTAGTATTATCTGGCTTTGGTATCAGGGTAATGCTAACCTTGTAAAATAAGCATGGAAGTATTGCCTCTACTTCAATTTTTTTAGGAGTCTGATAATTGGTATTAGTCCTTGAAATGTTTAATAAAATTCAACAGTGAAGTCATCCACTCCTGGCCATTTCTTTGACTGGAGATTTTTTAGTACTAATTCAATCTCCTTACTCGTTATTGGTCTGGTCTATTTTCTATTTCTTCATGATCCATTATTAATAGGTTGTATGTGTCTAGGAATTTATTTCTTCTAAGTTATCCAAATAATTGTTAGGCACATAATTGTTCACAGTAGTTCACAGGAGTTTTCATTCTCCTCTTCCCTCTCCCCTTCCCCTCCCCCTCCCTCCTTCTCCTCCTTTTTTGAGAGTCATGCTAAGTTGCCCAGGCTGGGCTGGAACTTTTGGTCCTCTTGCCTTGGCCCCCCAAACAGTGCCACCACATCCAGATTCATAGTAGTTTTTTATGATCTTTTTTTATTTTAGTAATATCAATTATAATGTCTCCTCTTACAAGATTACATACAAAATAAAACTGTAAGGCTTATTAGAAGAAAACACAGATAAAACTCAAATACCCATTTAAAGTATGGATAAACAAGAGTGAGAAATATGCATACAATATACTACAACCCAACCAAAAAGAAAAAAAATTGCTACTGATACATGCAAAAACAGAATCTGGGGGCTGGAGATTTAGCTCAGTTTATGCTTGCCTTGCATGCACAAGGCCCTGGGTTCAATCCCCAGCACCACAAAAGGAGAAAAAAAAAAACAAAAAAACAGAATCTGTAAATATTGTTGAGTGAAAGAAATCAAACGGACACTAAAGGTACATATTATGTGATTCAATTTACATGACATTCTAAACTAGGAAAACTATGATGAAAATATTAGAACAATACAGGGACAGGAAAAATTAGTGGAAAGGAATATGTGAAAATTGGAGGGGGTGAAAATCTTGATGGTAACAGAATGGTAATAGGTATGATGCATTTGACAAAATTCACTGAATTGTGTAAATAAAAGTTGTACTCTTCATGATTTATAAATTTTTTCCTCAATATTACACAACATATAAAAACATCACATACTTCAGCATGTATATATTTATATTTTTGTCAGTTAAAAATAACTTTAATTTACTGGTTAAAAAAAAATCTGAAATGTTAATCTATCCCCTTAGGATATCACTGTGTAGCATGTGATCTTCTCTGCTGCTAAAAGTGTAAATGGGTTTTAACACCACTCAAACCACATCAATTTTCCCATAGGCTTAGGTATACATTAACTACTGCAGCAGTTATACCCTTTCCATTACATATGTCCAGACTGAATAGAAATTTTAATTTCCATCTTCTCTCTTTCCCTTGGTCTTTTCATATTGTTCTGTCTATACAGAACAGAATGTTAAAGAAAAAGCAGAGTGGCAATCTGCATATAGGCTGAATTGATTAAAGACAACTACTTGATTATACTACTGTTTCTTGAGTGTGTTCTCTCCCTGACTAGGTGGAAAACACCTGTTTTTATTACTGTTGTTATTGATCATGTTACTTTTATAAACTTACATAATTTTACTGATAATGAAATTACAGAAACTGAATGTTATTAAATTATTTATATTTTAATTTTTAATAATATATTTTACCCCAACAAGGAAAAAAAATAGAACTTTAAATAAACACTGAACACTACTTAATAGGCATGCGTTACATAGTGCTATGATTTATCAGTTATAAAACTACTTCCTGTGCTTTCTTTTGTGTGAACAAATGTACACAGCAATTATGTTAAGTATACTGGGAATCTGGGTCAATCTCAGAAATATACATAGATTTCCTAACTCTGCTGAGAGGAATTAGAGCAATGGCATATAAGTAACAATAAATACCAACTGTAATCAGGTCTTGATTTCTCTGTTAAAGAACCCCTTAAGAAATGAAGGATTCTAGGGTAAGAAAAGTACGAAAGTTTTTGTTGTTGCTGTTATTTTTTATTCTACATATTTGTAATATATTTTGATTACAGACACATAGAGAAGTGACTACTATAATCAGGGAATTTAACATATCCATCATCTCATATAATAACCTATCCACTTTTTTTCCCATCTCTTATTCTTCTTTTCCTCTTTCCCTCTCACTCTCTCCCTTTCTTGGGAAGAATACCTAAAATCTACTTTCTAGGTAAATTTCCAGTATACAATATGATATCATTAACTACTGTCTTTATATTATGTATCAAAAACTATATTTATTCATCCTATATAACTGCAAACTTGTACCCCTTGACCTACATTTTCTCATTTCCTCTACCCCCATCCCTGGTAACCACCTTTCTGATCTTTGTATGTAATTTTTTTAGATTGATTTATAAGATTTCATATACAAGAGAAATCATGCAATAGTTTTCTTTTTGTATGTTTTATTTCACCTAGCATAATGTCCTTTAGATTTGCCAATGTTGAAAATTATAAGATAAACATGGAATATCTTATATGCCTGAATAGTATAGAATTAATCAAAAAATAATATGAACATATCAAAAGAATAAGAGAATCACCATAAAGAGACTCCCATTGGCTATTCAACGGTGGCCCATATCCTCCAAAAGCAATGTCTCTGCCTCATCAGGGGGCTGCCTGTTCCTGTGACAGGAACCACACCCTCTCCTCAGAGGTCTGAATTTCTGAACTTGTGGTTGGGGAGGGGAACATTTCCTTTAAGTTTTTAAGTTACTTCCTTTATTGCTACTTCTGTATAACATAGTCCTTTTATCATTTTTTAGTAATTGATCATATCTACTAGAAAATAATTCTTTAAATTTTTCCTGTTTAAAAAAAAAAAAGTTATTATGCCTGATATCCCAGTTGCTGGTGAGGCTGAGTCAAAAGGATCACAAGTTCAAGGGTAATCTAGGCAATTCAGGGAGAGCCTCTCTCAAAATAAAAAATAAAAAGGGCAGGGGATGTAGCTCATGGTAAAGCACCCCTGGGTTTAATCACCAGTATTGGCCATGGGAGGAGTAAACAAAAGACAAATTCAAACTGAGAGACATTATACAAAATAAGTGGACCTTCAAATTTTCAAGGTCAAATAAGATAACCAACTAATTGCATTAGGTGCTTCTGGTTTGGCTCCAATGGTTGGGGAATGGAAAGTACTTATAGAGTATTTATTGGGACAGATGATGAAATTCTGAATATGGACTACAAATTTGATAATATTATGTCAAGGTTATAGTGCTTGATTTTGATAATTATATTGTGTTAATGCAAGAGAATGCCATTGCTCTTAGGAAACACACCCTGATGTATTTATTGGAATGAAGAATTTATTCTTAAATTGTTCAAAATGAACCAATGGGGAGGGTAGATTAGTGGGGAAGAGAAAATAAGTAAATGGGGCAACAGGTAAACTATTGAAGAATCAAGGTAGAGCATATACCAGCGTTCTTTGTACTATCTTCCATTTTTTAATAAATGTTAACTTATAGTAAACTGAAAGTTACCAAAACAAAAAAAAACTAGTCTTTGAAATATGTTAAATGGGATTATTTTAAAAGGAATCAGTGAAAAATGTTAAATTGAAATCTGGTTCAAGATGGCACATTGAATACATGCATAGTAAGATTGAAACCACCAAATAAATTCCAAAAGATCCCTGAGCAGATCAGAAACTGTAAGCACGAAGGATTTTTTAAAATATTTTTTTTTAGTTGTTGATAGACCTTTATTTTATTTATTTATATGTGGTGCTGAGAATCAAACCCAGTAACTTACACATGGTAGGCAAGCGCTCTACCACTGAGCCATAACTTCAGCCCAGGAAGGATATTGTTAACAGTGAAACCAGGTCAAAAATCTGTTAACACAAGGTTCACACAGAAGAACGGTGTCAAAAGGTTAAAGAAGTCATTCCCAGAAAGGCTCCCAGATTAGACTCAACAACTTTTGCCCTTGACCAGAACCTCTCTTCTGAAGTTCAAACACAGAAAGCACCCAGAACATGCACTGAGACCCTACATGCAGTAAGTATTCTAGTTTATTTGCAACTGATTAGGAAGAGAAGCCCACCTCGGTTTCCAACCCCAGAGAATTTCTGTAGTTATTATTTGAGTAGTTATTCTACCTACTAAATGCATTTCTGACCTATTCTCCACTTTCAACATGTACACTTCTCACCCACCAACTCAATGCTACTCTAGGCAATGACCAAGAGGCACGCTTTCTGAAGTCAAACTTGAATTCACCAACAAATGAATTTCAATTCTAGAATGAAAGTTTTTGGTTTTTAGGATTTTGAGGGTTTTTTTGTTTGTTTTTTGTTTTTTTCTGTACTGGGGACTTAACCTAGAGGACCTTTTTACATCCCCAGTCCTTTATTTCTTATTTTGAAACAGAGGCTGCTTAGTTCCTACGTTGCTGAGACCTGCCTTTGCCTCCAGAGTCACTGGGATTACTGCATGCACCACTGAATCCAGGTGGGGATTTTTGGTTTTTTTAATTTTTTTTAGTTGCAGATGGACATGATACCTTTGTTTATTTATTTTTAGGTGATGCTAAGGATTGAACACAGTGCCTTGCACATGCTAGGCAAGCGCTCTACCACTGAGCTACAATCCCAGCCCAGTTAAAGGTTCTTTAAAACAGGAACTTTTGTCTTAGTTCTCTACCCTGAAAACTTATAATAAGGCTAGGGCTAATAGGATGTATCTCAGTGGTAACACACTTGCCTAGCATGCATGAGGCCCTGGGTTCGATCTCCAGCACCACAGGCACACACAGACACACACACACACACAATTACATAATAGTTTTGGCACATAGTAATTGCTCAGTGAATGTTTATTGAATGGATTTATAAAAGCAATTCAATAGAAAAACCTTAAATGCCTGCCCAACATTTATAGATTAAATAACAACTGATGAAACTAAATATTATACAGCTATTAAAAAATTTGATCCCCAACACCAGAAAAAACATGAAGTCTATCTGGAAAATTAATGATATGGAGAAGTATTGGATATACTCATTTTTTTAAGAAAGGAAACAACTACTTCCAAGAAGAAAACATGCAACCTTTTGTTGTGTTTATGTATGATTTTTGTTGTTCTGTTTTCTGATCTCAAATTACTCTTATTATAAGAAGGAAAATCATCTTTTAACTTTTTTCCCTGAGGAAACATCCAATATCCAACCCAGAACTAAATAGATCAATTAATAAACAATTGTGGCATGGGGGGTTTTATTGTCCTGGAGACTGAATCCAGGGGGAGCTGATTAGCAGTTTTTAGTTTTTATTTTGAAATAGAGTTTCACAGAGTTGCCAAGGCTAATGTCAAACTCAATCCTCCTTCCTCAGCCTCTCTAGTCATTGGAATTATAGGCACACCAACATGCCTGGCACTAACAAATGTAGAATAATATACAATCAGTATGGTGGTTCAAGGATTAAAAGCGGGATTCTGGAGATTATGTGCCTAAATTTGAATACTTAATAGCTATGGCACCCATAGCAGGTTATATACTTAGCTATTTTACTCATCTGAAAAATCACATAAGATACTTCCTCATAAGGATGGTGTGAATTAAGTTTAATTCAAGTTTAATTTTAAGGTGTTAAAAGTGAATTACTTTTTTAACAGCACTTACACAGTTGATGCTGAGCCCAAAGAACAACCTTTGAGACAGTGCTAGGAAGCAGACCCAGGAACAGGAGGCATCAAGATCCAAATGGAGTCACAATAGCCCAGGAACACTGCACTGCTATCCAGGACTCTAAATATATGGCCACATGGCATACTACCTCAGGCCTCACAGGGCCTTAATTTGCTAGTAGCTTCATGCAATATCAGATTTTCTATTTCTGACTTAAAATTCAAATACTTAGGGCTGGGGATGTGGCTCAAGCGGTAGCGCACTCGCCTGGCATGCGTGTGGCCAGGGTTCCATCCTCTGCACCACATACAAAGAAAGATGTTGTGTCCGCCGAAAACTAAAAAATAAATATTAAAAAATTATCTCTCTCTCTTTAAAAAAAATTCAAATATTTAACACTTAATAATTAAACTTAATTTTCATCAAGGGATTCAAATTTTCTAATTACCTGTGAAATCGTGGGCCACCTGGGGCTCTGAAGGACTTTCCCAAGCATTACCCTGTGTGACACTCAGGGGGAAAATAGAGAAAGGCATTAACAGCTGTGAGTTACTGTGAACACCCCTACCAGAAGTCTGTTCCAGATTTATCAGAAAAAAACTTTAGCCACTGTGCTGATCAAATTATTTTCTCAGTAAAATAAAAGTTGGGTTCCTTCTAAGACATTAAAAAATTTTAAAAAATTTAAAAAGGCACTTACAAAAGTGCCCAGCCCCTCAGAGATGTGCACACTTTTGGTGATTATTAATATTATTATTAGATTCAAAACACGGTAACAGTTCTAATAAGGCGGCCCCTATTTGCATGGGAGACACAAACAAGTCAAGTAATGTCAAGCAGAATAAAACAAGATAAATGAAGCCAAGCACAAGCCAACAAACCAGCGTTCTGAGGAAGGAAGAGTTCATTGTGGGAGTGAATCCAGGAAGTTACAGTAGCAGGAATATCTGAACTAAGTTCTAAGAACAAGCAGGGCTTCGACAAATAGCTAATAAAACATAAGGAAACCGCAAAGGATCTTACCAAAGACACAAAGACTAGAACTGTGTTGCTTGTTCCCCAGGACACCAGAAATGCAGAGAGATGAAAAGAACAGGGCATGCATAAGAAACCTCTGGTGAACATCGATGGCTGCAGAGTATGCTTATCAAGCAAATGCCACAAGATGAGATAAAAAATAACAGTAACAACAACAACAAAACACCCCAAGGTACTACACCGTAAAAAGGACGTAAAGAAAAAAGTGTTGTTAATAGAACCAAGACACCAACGACCCCATCGTTCTATAGCGGCCACCCGTACGCAGGTATACTCAAGCCCACAGACGGCGGAACAGCGGCTCCCACAGGCTGCGAAGAATCTGGGGAGGCGCTGAACGAGAATGTTTGGCAAAAGAACTACAATTCCCAGAAAGGCCGTAGCGCGGGCCGCTTTGCGTAGTTTCTGCTTCCGCCGTGCGCCCTCACGTACCCTCTTCAAGAGGACCTATCAGAAGTCGACCTGGGGCGTGACCCGCGCGTGACTTGGGCGCGCGAGCAAAGTGTGCCCGGAGGCGGGACTGAGACCCCATTGGTAGAAAGGCGAAGTGAAAAGCAGGACCCAAATTTGACAGTCTCCATTGTAATTGGAATTAACGGTAGGGGCGGAGCTAAACACCCTAGGATATCGGCCAATCAGCGTTTACGGTTGACAGTGAGACCGGTAAGGAGAAAACGGAGAAATGGTTCTGTAGTCACATGCCGCGGGGTCTAGTGGGAGGAGCAGTTGCCCAGCGGCCCCCTAGCGCTTCCTGTTTCCGGTTCCCGGAGTAGGGCACAGCAAGGCACCTGGGGAAACGCTGGCCTCTGACACGATCTCTGGGACCGGGGTCTGTGGCTGGCCCCTTGCTAGCCCGGTCTCCCATTCTCAGAAAGCTATTCGCCAGGGGGTTCTGAGCTTTGGCCACGCCGTTTGCCCGTGACACGTGAGTCTGAGGGGCGTGGAGGAGGAGGCGGTCTGGGGTTTGCTCACACTTCTGAGCCGGGATCGCAAAGTCTCACTTGGCAGTAGTTTTCTTCCAAAGATGTGGCACATGAGCCCTAGAGCAGAATAGAGGTGAGGGCGGGGAGGCGCAGACTCCCGAAAGATACAAGGGAGATAGGACTTCAAAGACTAGAAAGATGACTTAAAGATATTTGGAAGACCGGGAATAGAAGGTCCCCAGCTATGGAGTTAGGTTTGAAGAGTCACTGGATACTTATAGAAGGAATTTTGGCATGCATCATGAAAGGAGGTGAAGTGGCCTCGTTTGAATAAGGATTGGCTCCAAGCAGTTGGAAAGTGAAAATCCTAGGAGAGGTTTAAGGGAAATTTTTGCTTTGTGTGGAGAAGAGTAACTGGGATTATCTCGTGTTCCTTCTTGTGGGGAGCTTCAACTCTTGGGACACAGAACTACTACTCACAGAGTTTCTTTCTTTCAACATTGGGCTTTTTGACCAATTGAGGCTGTTCTTCTAAATGTGTAGGTTGCTGCGGGAGAGGAAATAAGGAATCAGAAATGAAACGGGGTGGGGGGGATAAGAATTTCCATTGATAAGTGGAAAATGGGCATGGCTAGTAGTGAAGGTGAGGAAGTGTTCTACCAAGGCCCAGTGGTGTAACTGCTTCCCAATTCCTGGCATTGCCATTGGCGATCCCACTTAAGGAGAATTTTTCAGTATTGCCAAATAGATCTGTCTTTATAGAATAAGAAAATTAAAGATTTTTCAAGATTCTGAAATCCTCTCCTTTTGTCCAAAGTGTCTAGACAAACATTTGTACCTTGTGAATGTAAGTGTAGCATATCAAAAATGGATTACCCAGCCCTTGGATTTCAATACTCTTTATAATTGTTGTGCCCATTTGTTTATCATTTGTTTTCCAGTAAATATCTTTATACCATGAGTTGTCCAGGTTGCTCCGATAACTTGTATAGCATTGAACAAGTAACTCTGTTAAGTCTCGGATTCCTCATCTTAAACATAGGAAAAATTATACATACTTTTCCGGGTTGTGAAGGTTAACGAATATAATCTAGGCAAAGTATTTAGAGCATAGGCCACACTAAATCAAAAAGAAACAGCTTAGCCAGACGCAGTGGCACATGCCTGTAGTCCCAGTGGCTTGGGAGGCTGAGGCAGGAGGAGGCAAGTTCAAAGCCAGCCTCAGCAACTTAGCAAGGCCCTAAGCAATTCAGGGAAGCCCTGTCCCAAAATAAAATATAAAAAGGGCTGGGTGTGTGGTGGTGGTTAAGTGCCCCTGAGTTCAATTCCTGGTACAAAAAAAAAAAAAGGAAATAGCTTAAATTGATAATCAAACCTTAAGCAGAAAAGAAAGAAGAATGTTAATTTACTCTCATTCTAACTTTTTGAACCAATAAGAGAAAAAAAGGTAACTCTTAATGCCAGCTGCAGGGTTTTTAGCTCTCCATCTCTTCCCAGTTTTGTGAGATTCTTTGTTCTCATTTGGGAAGAGAAACCATCAACTGTTTACAAATAAGGAACTAACTTTGAGGCCAAAGAACACAGCATTCTTTGTGAGCATCCTTCCAGAAACTGCTCTGGAAAAAAAAGATCTTGAGAGCCTGAAGTTAACATTTCAAATTAGGCCCTGAAAGAACATAAGGTAAATGGCATGCCAGTCAATCTAACAAAAGTAGTATAATTTCTTTTTAGTGAATCAACTGGTCACGTTGTGTGTTGAGTGATAGGTTTACTTAGGGAAGGTGGAAGTTTGAGATCTGAGTTCTTTATTCCACCTCCTATTTAGTCAACTGGGTGAGAAGTCATTTCCCCTTCTTGCTTTGCTTTTTAAAAAAAAAAAAAAAAAGGCAGGGGCGGGCAGCACAGCTTTGGCTGCCTACTTTCATTCCCGCAAAAAATTATGCATAGACCATGAGTTCTGGAACCAGACTGTCTGGTATGCTCCACTAGCTGTGTCGGTTTTCTTATCTATTAAGTAGAGACAAAAATTGTATTTCTTGCATAGAGTTATATGTTAAGTGCTTCCAGCAATGCCTGGCCAGAGGCTTTTATTTCATTAAGTGTTTCCTGCTGTTGTGGTTATGGTGCTTTAACTATATTATGGGGGCCTTTGACCTCTTGGCTAAGGAATTATTTTATGAAAATATCTTAATTAATATTTATTCAATGAATTGATGTACACACAGTCAGGTAGATAACTTCCTAAGCATTTGTTGGCCTAATGGAGTGTGAGAAATAGATGGTAAAATGTAAATTTGTTGAGGGGAGAAGGGAAAGTGCATTCAGGGCTCAGTGTTGGAGGTTCCATTTACCCCTCTCAGGTGAGAAAAATTTGGAAGAGTTAAGCTTTTTACTGGGAAAATTAGTGATATTGTTGAAACTAACAAGAAGCAGTGGTCTGAAGGATTAATGGATACCAGAATGAAATCTTTTGCAAGAGTAAACCAGTGTGCCTGGATACGAAGATGGATTAGAGAAAAGGAATTTGAGAAACAGAGTCACAATGTTGTTCCATTCCTGGAGTAGTACAAGCATCAGATGAACCCAGAGTTGCCATCAGATTGGACTGTCAAAGACAACTGTACTTACTGAAAATATAAAAGCCCTTGAGATTTTGTGACTTGTAGTCAAAATGCAGATGTGACTTGGTTTTGGGTGACTTCATGAAACCACTTATTTTGATCGATAGACTTTTCTTTTTCCTATAATTTGAATGATTTTTCAAAGATGAAATATTAGAGTAGATAAATCTCAAGTATTAGGTGCTGCAGATGTATTTACCTGTATTCTATATTCTTAGAATAAATATGAAGGAGGATTGTTAAATGTTCCTGAATAATGATATGAGAAGTTAGGGCCAAAATATTCAAGTTTTAATAACTTCCAACTGGACATATTCAAGGGTTTATTTAAATCATAATGAGTGTTTTCTTAGGGAAGGCCACTGGTTTAAGCTTTATTTGTGAACTAATATTAAACTTTAATGAGGCAATCTAACTTTTCTCCAGACAGTAAAGAGGCAAGGATGGCTGCTCCCAGACTAGCAAAATTAAATAATTCTTTTACTCTTCCTCTTTTCCTTTTTCTCACCCCCACAGTTTGTTTTGGAAGATTCCTCTGTAAATTAGACTAAAAGTTTGTTTTGGGGCTTTCTGCTATAGGTGTTCTTGTTACAAAGATATTAAAATGTACTACTTGTTGCTTATGCCAAAGAATCATACTTTCTACACAATCAGAATACCATTCATTTATTACATGTTCACATGCTTTATCTCTTTCCCTTCTCTCCTGATCCTGCCTGCCCTCCGTAATACACACTCTTCCAAAAGGATGTTCCCTTTCTATAGCTGGAGGACTAGACTGCTACTGCTGTTGTTCCTGGCTGTGGCAGTGAGAGAATCCTGGCAGACAGAAGAAAAAACTTGTGACCTGGTAGGAGACAAGGAAAAAGAGTCAAAGAGTGAGTTGGCTCTATTGCAGAGGCTAACTCCACTGTTTAACAAAAGGTAAATGAGAAGAACCGTAAAGGGCTTGGGAGAGTATCTTTATTAATAAAGAGTCTTCTTTTTACTGATTTTATTTCACTTTTAGTCTGGAGGAAATCCATGTAAAATAACAGGTTCTGATCTGCACTTAAAATATTAGTTTTATTGGACCATAATACCCTTCTTTCTTCAATGATATAAGGAAAATTTTCAATCCAGTTGTTAGTATAACATGGTTCTCTTAACCTTTCACAGTAGAGTAGCTGGTTCTAAGACTGGATTCAGGAAACCAGCTTGTGGAAATCTAAGCATTATTTGTTACCTTCATATAATAGGACTTTAGTAGTATCAGGTGAACATCTTTAGGCCTGTACATATCATTGTTGGTGTCAAGAATCTTCAGATAAATCTGAAGGTGATTCTTAAGAAACAGTGTCTTTTTGATATATGGTTCCATAATAGCGCCATATTGGGAAGAAGGATTTAGTATTTCTTCCACTGAAGAGTTTTACAAAATTATGGTTGTTTATAAAACATGGTATAGTATATATGGTATGTCCACTCTGTAAAAATAAATTTTCTCTTAAAAAAAAAAAGTAGTGTGTCTCCTGTTCCTGGGGAAGTAGTAAATAACACTTTAGCATAGCTTAGAATAAGCATTCTAGAAATATCTGAAATATCTAGCTGCATTGGGTGGTATATTGTAATCATGTATTAACAATTATGGTCTATCAGGGTCATAACTCAACAAATACTACTCAACCATGATATTAGATAAATAAATGAAGCGTGTTTTTTTTATTATTGTCAAAGAAAGGGAGGAAAGCTGGTTCTTCCTGAGGCTAATAGCTAGTAACTCTACTCTTACTTTCTTCCCACTTTTCCTTACAGCTTTGAGAGCACCGTGGGCCAGGGCTCAGACACATATATCTACGTATTCAGGGTATGCCGGGAAGCTGGCAACCACACCTCTGGAGCAGGCCTGGTACAGATCAACAAAAGTAATGGAAAAGAGACAGTAGTAGGGAGACTCAATCAGACACACATCTTCAATGGAAGTAAGATTTTCCCTGTTGATTAATCTCAAATCAATTGTTTTAACAGTCTTATTTTTATTTTTTCCCAGTCTTTTCCAGTATATGTTATGTGTAGTTTGACACATCCAAGACTATAAACCACAGGACACCTAGTTCCACTGCTGCCCTGAAACCACAGTTGAGAACATTTACATGTATGAAGGTAGTGAAAAACCAGGTGTGGCAGTACATGCCTATGATCCCAGCTCAGGAGGCAGGAGGATTACAAATTCAAGGCCAGCCTGGGCAACTTAGTGAGATCCTGTCTCAAAATAAAAAGGGCTGGAGGTGTAGCTCAGTGGTTGAGTACCCCTGGATTTAGTTCCTAGTACCACCACACACACACATATACACATACACATATAAAAAAGAACAGTCTAACCAAAATTGTGTGGCCTGTAGACCTTTTATTCACCCAAATACTTACTTAGTTCCACACTAACCACCACCATTTCCTACCAAATTAACCAAAGCTTTCCAGTTAAATTTTAAGAGATCAAGACTTTTTGCAAAACAATCTGTAAAATATTCCCCATCAACTTGTGCCAGTGGTGATATTTCTCAAGTCATAAAATCATATTGCTGTAAAGGAGTCTATGAGCACTTATGGTCTAATTCCATCCCAAAAACAAATAACTAAGGTCTCTAGTAGAGATATTTATTCCTTTAAATAATATAATAAAACATAACACAAGAGCTTTATGGCTAGGGTCAGATGAGTGGGTTCTTTACTACTCATCATATTTCCTAATGACTTTGAAAAATTGTTTTACCTTTTTGACCTTGTTTTCTCACATGCAAAATTGGAAGCCTGTAATCCCAGTGGCTCAGGAGGCAGAGGCAGGAGGATCATGATTTCAAAGCCAGCCTCAGCAACAGCGAGATGCTAAGCAACTCAGTGAGACCCTCTCTCTAAAAGGAAAAAAATAGGGCTGGGGATGTGGCTTAGTGGTTGAGCACCCCTGGGTTCAATCCTCAGTACCCAAAACAAAAAAAATTAGAAGTAAAATCCTTACCTTATTGACCTTACATGATTGTTAAGTCAGGTGATATTTTTTGCAAAAGAACATTGAACATAGTAAATGCTAAAGAAGAGAAATGCATTACCATTTCAATAAAATCATCCACTTTGAATTTGCAAATAATTCATCTTCTCCCTGCTGCTCTTCTTTTGGTAATAAATGATTTATAATTACTTCTTCTTTTGGTATTAGCAGGTGTTCTGAAAACGTGAATCATTGTTAAGGTATGGAACCTTAACAAATATTTGTTAAGGTGAAAATAATTATTTTCACACTACCAGTTGCCTATCTTAATGTGGAAAATTAAGATGATTCCTACATAGATATGTGGTTCTTAGTTCCTAAAACAAGGGAACACGCTTTGTAAAGAAGCAAAGTTTTAGCATGGCACATCTGATATACAGAGCTCATTCCCATAAGGGTTATTTTAATTAAAACTAATTTCACTGATTCCTTAATTCCACTCTGCCGTACTACCTAGAGTTGCCTCTCCTTTCCCCCTTACCCCATAGCACCATTTTCCTTGTCCCTCCTCAGGTAATTGGATCATGCTGATCTATAAAGGGGGTGATGAATATGACAACCACTGTGGCAAGGAGCAGCGTCGTGCAGTGGTGATGATCTCCTGCAATCGACATACCCTAGCGGTGAGGCACCCTGGAATATATAAACCTAGGGAAGAGATTCAAAGGATTGACCTGAGGTGGAATATTCAGAGGGGATAAGATTCTTACATTGGGGTGGACAGAAAAGTATAGGTCAATTTTCCCTATGTCCAACACCTATTTTCCATCTTAAATGGAAGTAGACTACTGAACCAGGAGGAAGCAATATGGTTTTGGGGTTTTTTCTTTTGTTGGATATTTTATCACAAACACTGTGTTCTGTCCTCTCATTAGGACAATTTTAATCCTGTGACTGAGGAGCGAGGCAAAGTCCAAGATTGTTTCTACCTCTTTGAGATGGATAGCAGCCTGGCTTGCTCCCCAGAGGTCTCCCACCTCAGCGTGGGTTCTATCTTACTTGTTATGTGAGTATTCTTTTCCTATAGGTACTTGGTGGTATATAGGCACAAATGGTGGTGGGTGCATGTGTTATACTAAATTAGGAAAGATGATCATGTAAACATACTCTGACTATAAACTATTGCAGGTTTTTAAGAAATTAGATTTAATGTTTAGTCCCCCACAAGTGTTTGCATTTGGAGATGCTTTTTTTTTTAATCCACTGGAAGGCTGGACAGTTTTGAATACTATCCTATTAAAATGATTAGAACTATAGAAAAACAGAATTATGTATCTAGTAGTGGTTATCCTTGGTTACACACTAGGTCACATTTTCTTCTGAGCCTTTGTTTCTGTCAGACTGACAACACTCTTAGCTGGTTTTCTAAAGAAGCTTCCCTTCCACCCCCTACCTTCTCCCCATCATCCCTTTTCCACAAATGTAGCTTAAGAAACTGTTAACATTGAATACAGGGGTCATCCTTAGTATCTGAGTTTTAGCTTTTCTCTGTTCGTTTTGAGTATTTTTTTGATTTGACCCAAATTGGCATTAAAATCATGATTTGTATTGGCTTCCCAAGTTGGAAGTACAGACTCATACCACCATGCTCAGTTTTGGTCTTTAAGTACACGTCTTTTCTACAGATTTGCATCACTGGTTGCTGTCTATGTCATTGGAGGTTTCTTATACCAGCGACTAGTGGTGGGAGCCAAGGGAATGGAGCAGTTTCCCCACTTAGCCTTCTGGCAAGATCTTGGCAACCTGGTAGCAGTAAGTAACAAGGCAACTGGCTGGGTCTATAGCCTTCATAGAAGGTTGGGTAACCAGTTATCCTGGTTTGCTGAGTTTCCTGGGATACAGGACACTGAGTGCTAATACTACAAAAGTCCCTTCAAGTCAAAACAGTTGGCTGTCCTAGTACAAACTAGTAAGTGGCATAGCGTAAGTTTCTGGCCTTGCTAAGATGTGGCTGGAAGGTCAATACTGTGAATTTGATGATCTCCCAGATTGCTACTGGGGCAGATTGGGGATTGATGCAGCAGAGAAGCTGTGGCCTAATTAGAAGATACACTTGTTTTCCTAAATTGAAATTAGGCTAATCCTTGGATGTTTTGAGTTTGTCATTATCCCTGGCAAAACCCAGTTTTGTCACGTTCTTAGACCATAAATATGAACTTTGTCTTTTTAAGTCGGATATTCCAAACTCTCATTTCATTTGCTTTTCCTACAGGATGGTTGTGACTTTGTGTGTCGTTCTAAACCCCGAAATGTGCCTGCTGCATATCGTGGTGTGGGGGATGACCAGCTGGGAGAGGAGTCAGAAGAAAGGGATGATCATTTATTACCAATGTGATTGCACTTTAAAATGTCCAGCCTCTTTAGTCCCCCAAACCAAAGCATACTCAGCCAGATTTCTCAAGCAGTCTCTACTCCATTCTTGCTCTTATATCATTCCTGCTTTCCAGTTTGCTGTTGATTTGCATCCTCTTCTCACTAGAACTTCCTTCCCTTTGTTCCCTATCTTGTTTTTCTTTTAGAGAGGTGTTACTTTTAAGAGATAATGAGACCTGTGAAAACAGAGGTGCTGCACTCTCTTGCTATCAGAGGGTACAGGTAGGACAGTTAAAAGTGGGCAAAAGGGTCACTGGCCCTTTCTTTTTTAATGCATTTTCACAAATTTTTGAGACACTGGATTTCTTTAATTAAAGAAAAAGCAAAGAAGCATTATTTATACAGGTTTGATTGCTTTCATGCTATAACTCTACCCTACGATAGTCTCCATGAGAATCTGGATGATATTTCTTGCTGCTTGGATCTGCTTTGTAGTGATTACTTGGTTGCAATCCAAGTATTCCCATTTGGTCTGAGCCAAATGTTCTAGATTTGATCTCCCACATCTGGGATTAGACAGGAAAATGTGAAATTTCCTAATTACAGGATTATAAGGTACCATCACACCATTGTCATTGGGATGACATAGCTGTAATTGGGCCGGCCCTGGATTGTGGTCTTGTGGTTATCAATCCATGTGTGGCCAAAATGCCTAATCCAGCAATCTAGTCCATTGGAAAGACAAGTTGAATCAGCAAATATGTTTACCTTATGCTTGGATCTCCATGACAGCTTTCTTCTATTGTAGTAAAAGCTGGAAAAGCTGTTCTTGTTTCCCTCTACCAGTATTGTAAACATATGTTGCACTTTTTTTCACAGGCATATTGGTTTTTGAACCCCCCCCCCCCCCCCCCCCCCAAAAAAAAAATCTTCTGGAAAGGGAATGGAAGCAGAAGTGGAACACTGAGGGTTCTAAGGTCCTCTGCTCTGGGTGTGGAATGCTGCTGCACCTGTCCCTTCTGCTGGCTCAGGGAAGTGTCTTCTTGCCCACATTTCTGTGGGGAAAGGTTTTTAATCCTCTGATGCTTCTATCTTTCTATTTAGGCCATGTGCCCAGAATCCCAGGCTGATATTTCTGTCTATAATAGTGAACCCCTGGGCCACTAAGAGTAACATGGCTCCACTGGACACAAAAGAGGGGTAGAATCAATAGGAAGGGGGCCTTTTATAAACCTTTAGAGAAGAAATGAAATTATTTCATCTTTGGACTTTAATACTATTGGAATGTTTTTTGTTTTTCTTCTTTCTAAACAGGGAAAATAATGTTATAAAAGCATCTCCTTTGTCATTATTTGTTTGCATCCTTCCCCCATACCCTGGTGTTTTAAATGAAAAATAATACACCACTTTTGTACAAAAACACTTAATGATTAAAAAACAAACAAAACATGCTGGCCTAGTCATTTGTGAAAAACAGGAGGGTAGAGCTACTGGAATGGAGTAAGAGACCACTGAGACCAATTTTCATCCTTTACTGAGGAGGAAAAAAAAAATATTTAATATTTTGTTGTATAAGGAATAGCGCCTAAGGTAGGTACTTATAATCCTGACCTCAGCCCCACACACTCCTGTTTTATAAAGCTACAGGAAAAAAGTTGGAATTGAAAGAGTAAAAGGTTAACAGGTAAATTGGAAGGGAGCAGGGGGATGTGGAAAAAAATGACAACAGCCACACCATGTGCCAGTCAAACACTTTTAGTCCCTGCAGCAAATCAGAAAGATTCCAACCAAGTTTCTACCCTGGCTGGTGACCCTGCCACGGATGCAGGAGAAATATTCAATACTAAGGGAATAAGTGATAACAAAATACTGAGCCACAGCTACAGTGGGACAATCCAGAAGGAAGAGGGAAAGTACCAGAATTTTGCTACTTGTGTCACACAAGCTAGAAAAACCCTACCTCTCCCACTGGAGAAGCAAAACTACATTCCACCCATTTCCCTGCCTTACCATACACATATTTCTCCTCTTGGAAAACCCTGGCTAGACGCTCCACTCCAGGATAAGGCTGAGCAGTCCTAGTTCTCTGGACTGCCTTTGTTACAAAGACTGGATTGGGGTAGGTGGGATTGATGAGAACTGTAAAGATTATTTTAAAGTGAAACCCAAAGAAAATATCAAAGCTGCCACTATGTAGCACCAGCAACCAATTCTTGCACTTCTCTTCCCTGTCTCAGTAATCTCCCTACAGAAGGTCACATAATTCGAACAGCTCTTTCTTCCCTGCAAAGTCTGCTGGTACCAGGTTATAACCTGGACAGTGGGGAGTGTCTGCCTTCGGCTGGTTTGTGCAAGAGGGCCACCTTAGGTCTCCTTCAGGACATTTATCTTGGCACAGATCTTGAGGGCAGGGCCCAATTTGATGTTCATGGCACTCATAAGATGTTCTTCTTTAAGTAATAAAAGGGCCTGTCCATCAATCTCCTGGGAACGAAACTCTTCTGCAATTTCTTGGCAGCCTAGAAGGCAATGGTGAGACCGTGTATTAGAAACTGCATGGTAGAACAAGAGAGGAGAAGAAACAATCCCAGAGTCTTTGCCCTAAATTCAGTAATATAAAGGTATAAGATGGTAAGCTTTGAAAGCAAAAATGAAATTAGAGACACTGGTTATCTTAAAAATGAAAAACAAGCCAGATGTGGAACACACCTATAATCCCAGCAACTGAGGAGGCTGAGGCAATAAGATTAAAAGTTCAAAGTCAGCCTCAGCAACTTGAAAATACCCTGTCTCAAAAATGAAAAATTGGCTACAGATGTAGCTCTGAGGTAGAGCACCCCTGAGTTCTATCCCCAATACTAAAAAGAATAAAACAACATCAAGAAAGGAATAATAACCTAAGTTGTTCAGCCATAGAAGTAACTTCATGTTGGGCATGGTGGCGTATGCCTGTAATCCCATCGACTCAGAGGCTAAGGTAGGAGGATCATGAGTTCAAAACCAGTCTTAGAAACTTAATGAGAAACTAAGCAACTTAGTGAGACCCTGTCTCAAAAAATGGAAGGGCTGGGGATGTAGCTCAGTGTTAAAGCCCCTGGGTCGAGTCCCTAGTATCCCACCCCACTCCCAAAAAAAGAACTTACTTCAAACAAGAAGGAAGGCATAGCCCCTGCTCATTTATTTCTAGATGGCTTGGCAACTGCTGGTAATCAATTGAGACTTTATACAAAAAGTTATTATTTGAAATCAGCCAAAGGAAAGCTGCAGAGGGCACTGTTTGTCATCATTGGACCAACTGGTAGTACAGTTTGACAAGATAGGGAATATAGGAGGAACACCCAAGTGTGGAGAAAAAAAGTTTTAGACGTGTTTGATGTAAAGTGAGAGTTCATATAGGTAGTTGTGTATTTGAAGATCAGGTGCTCATGGAAGGATCTGAGCTCTATATAGATTTGGCAGATGTCAGTTATGTATGATGATTTAAATCATGAAAATATATGATGTCATCTAGTGAGAGTATATAAGAGGAGAGGCCCCAAACCAGCTATCCTTAAGGAAAATAACAGAAGAGAGAGCCTTTTGTGAGAGGAAATAATCAAAGGAGAGTACCCTAATCAAAGAAATACTGCCAAAGGTGAGCAGCAATTCCTGACTTGTGAAATGTTATAAATGTTCTGCTCTATGCAATGTTCTGAGAGTAAATGAAATGTCAATGAAAATCCTTTGTAAAATGCAAATGTGTTAAATAAATGAAGTGTCCCCATTGCTCAAAAAATTTTTAAAATAAAACCAGAGAGAAAGAGCAATAATATATGCATGTTTTCTTGTATGTTGGCAAAAAGATTATATCAAATAATAATGAGGACAGGGTGGTTTTTTTAATGGAGAACAGTCCTATCTTGAATAAAAATAGGCCAACAATGGTCCCTTAGTTTCTAACCCCGCCCCTCTTCACTGAAAAAAGTCTTACCCAGGCATAGTGGTGCATGCCTATAATCCCAGTTTCCTGGGAGGCTGAGGCAGGAGGATCACAAGTTCTAAACAATTTAGTGAAACCCTGTCTCAAAATTAAAAATTAAAAAAGCTGGGGATATGGCTCAGTGGTACAGCACCCCTGGGTTCAATCCCCAGTACCAAAAAAGGGGAAAACCTTATACATGGTGAGAATTGTAGTTAATCACATCAAAATAATTTTTATCCAAAAATTATTGGTGAGAAATAAAGTTGAATCATAAAAAAACCAAATTGCAAAATTTCTCACACAGTAGAAGACAATATCAACCCAGAAGGAAATTAAGAAACCAAACTGTGGGCAAGCAACTTGAATAACTATCAAGGCAGAGTACTATCACATTCAAGCCCATGCTGCTTACAGGTTAGTAATGTTCCCTCATACAAAGGCCCATGTGGAATGATCCAAGAAAAATGAAGACTTGGGTTCTGTTAGAGATCCCTCTGTACCTTGGAGAGAAGCGATAAACTCATACACCTCCTCTACACTCCAACGACTAGGATTGCTGGACAGGAACACAGGGTTGATGCCTTGTAATTCTGGTGTGGGGGGAGCTGTAATGGTGTTCCCAAGGTCACGATCTCCATGTCCAGCTCTTACTGACAATGGCCCAGGAGATGTTGGGGAGAGCGCTTCATCATAACTGGAATTATCTGAACCCCGGCTAGAGTCCTCTTGACCCTATAGAAAAAATGGCAAAACAGTAAAGTCAGGAATAACAGTGTCATGAATGCTTCTCTTCCCTCCACCACCACCCTAGCTTAGACATAGAGGGAAAACTAGTCTTAACGTATGTGAAATAATCTGCGCATTATTTGCAAATGCCCAAAGTCTACTCTCAAGTGCCTTTCAAGTATGAACTTCCTTGATTCTCTTCTTGTGTTAAAAGAGATCTAGATTGTCTTCGCTTAAGTACAATGTAAGGATTAATAGATATATGAACCAGCAGTGAGGAAAAAGGAGATAAAGGCACTCAGGATCTCTCAGAATATGAAGTAACACAATCAATAAGAAACCAAAGTTCTGGTCTTGTATCCTTTCACATGGGCAAAGGATTGCCTTGCAAGGGAAAGAAAAAGGCCTATTTTAGAAATAGCTGGCTCAGTAACAACAGCTCACCCGGTGACGCTTGCCCTGGATCTTGGCACGGGCAATGTCAGAGGAGCTGCGGCGGGGTCCACGCCTACGAACACGAGCATAGTTGGCTTCCTGAAACTCTTTCATTTTTTTCCTCTTCAACCGGAACTGATGGCTACAGCTCACATTGTACCTATAAATCAGGGCATATACAGGATGTCAAGGCACTAGAAGAGACTATTTGCTACCCTGCCCCACACAGGAATTGGTACTTTAGGAGCTGATTTGGACAAAGGAATGAAAACAAAAGAGACACAAAGTATGTGTTCACTGTGAGATGACCCTGGGGAAGCAAGGTAACATTAGATGGAGAAACTAGTGCTCAAGGCAAGGCAGGCAATGCACACAGTACCTCTTTGCACAAGTCATGGAGCAAAACCTCTTAGAGCCACGAAATTGCTCTGCAGGGGCATACTTCCCACAGTACTCGCACTTCAGGAGATTCGCCTTCTTATCTAACTCTGAAAAACAAGGAGAGTTACGATGGGCTTTTGTTGCCCCTAAATCATATTACACCAAGAGTTGGATTCTAATTTTCCCAAAGACCTACACAACCAAACTGAGAATTCCTAAAACCAAACACCATGATGAATTACCCTTCAAGAAGATTATACAGTCCTCAAAGTCTTCCCTTTTTGTTTTCCAGACTGGGTATTGAGCTCATGGTTATACTAGACTTCACTATATCCCCAGTCCCTTTTATGTTTTATTTTAAGACAGGGTTTCACTAAATTGCCCAGTATGGCCTTGAACTTGTGATCCTTCTGCCTCAGCCTCCCAGGTAGCTGGAATTACAGGTGTGCACTGCAGTATCCACCAGCCCTTAAAGCCTTATTATTTCCACTTTAAGCCTGATTATTTCCATTTTAAATGTCTTACTAATTTTATCCTAATTCAACTCAGATTTCAATATGACTCCATTTCTTAAATAGGAAAGAGGAACTAATTATTAATGCCTAGGAAGATATCCAATCCCTCTCCCACAAAGATTTCCAAAAGCATGGAGGAAATTTTAAATAAAAGTCCTCACTATAGATTATTAAAATCTAAAATAAGGAGAGCAGGAAGTTGTGAATTTAAATGTCCTATGTGGAAACCAAGGAGAAAAAGGAAAAAAGGGCAGGGGGAGGTACCTCAGTAAAATAGAAGAGAGACTAGTAGAGAAAGGGGAACAGGGAGAGGGAGGAGGGGAAGGAAAGAGGAGGTAAAGGGAATAAAACTGACCAAATTATATTGTTATATTGTGTGCACATAACACATATATAATAAATCCCACTATTATGAATAATAACAATGTACC